TTTCGAATAGCCTGCGTTTATGACAAAAACCTGTATAGTTATAGAGTGTAAAATTCTCTCGTAATGGTATCTATAGTATTATTAATAATGTAGAGATGAAGTATGCGTATATATACACGTGTGTGTGTGTGTATATGTATGTATGTATGTGTGCAAAGTGTGTATATGCCGTGAGTACAATGTGTATACGAAAGATTTAGATTTAAAGTTAAGGTATCATCATCGTGTACGAAGAGGTACAAAATTTATAGGTATAGAATAGGCTATGAGGTCCGAAGGGCTACCTAATTCGTACGATTTGCATCGACGATCCCGTTGGTCGTGGGTTAGCTCGAACTTTCGTCGTTCCTGATGAAAGTCCCACGTCATTAATGCCAATTTCTCAGTCTTACTGACAAACAAAGTACAGTATGCATACTAAATGAATTTGCCCTGCTTTAATTACTCGATCTTATAGGACAGTTGATGACCCGCTTTGCGATTGTTCGCACTAGTTGACGCACTCATTTCTATTTTTCTTTATGGATATAAGGGTAGATTGTGACGAGTGAGTGACATGGAACAAACATGAGCACGAACATTTATACTACCGCTCGAAAGTACACTTATCGAATACGCAGTAAATGTTATAAGGTATTAGAAAGTTTTTGATCATCTGAAATGAATATTGTTTACGGAATGTTAAATCTCGATGCACATTTTATGCTACCATGAAGTAATAAACGTGGCCTAGAATATATAATTTTTACAAAACATTCAGCTCACTGTTCTCGCGTTAGACATTCCCCGCTGGTCATTGACCTGGTCGCCATATTAAAATCCTCATATATTAAGGTTTTTATTATATCATAGAAAACTAAATACACAAGAACAATACCAAAAAGAGAAAATATAAAGAAAATATAGAACTACAAAAATCACAAGTGGTGTAAAGTCTCAGGCTAATCGTACTGAAGCTTAACCTAACCTAAAACCTGTCCTAGATTGCGGTCAAGTAGAGGGAGTGAAGTATTTACAGTAAAATAATCTAGATTGCTATAAACGAAAAGGAAACTTGAGAGAATCTTTATCAAATCAATAACCGTCATCTATTTTTCGAACTTTTTCACATTAAGCTCTGCTCAATTCTTTGTGTAACGAGGTATAGTCACGCCCTGATAACCAGTTGTGTACAAGTTTCGAGCAAATTGCCAGCAAGAAATGACAAAAGTTGTTTAAAAAAGTTGTATGTCAAGTTGAGGGAAAAAACGGAACAAGGTTTGCGCAAGTCAATTTGCTGCATACGTTGCTGTCAATTTGCTGCCTATGTGCGTGCAAGTCGTTTATAGCAAATCATGCATGAAACCTGTAGCCATAAGTTTATAACAGGCATTGGACAAAATATGGCTTTCTGCAGGTTTGGCTGTAACGTTTACCAGTAATGACGGGATCGTAAGCGAGCGTGCACGTCCAACGGGATTCGTGGTCGAGCAAATATTAGGATCAAGTCGACGGGCACAAGACCTTCATCGTGAAACACTACCTTTCGTTACAAACAACCGGCAGCGGTTTTTTTTTCTTTTCGCATCGACCCTGCATCGTTCGAAGATTGTATAATTCGGCCGAGTGCCGAGTTACTTGCCGCGGATGTGTGTGGAAAAGAGATGGATAAACGGTTATGAGTAGACTGCGAATTTTTATGCAAAATAGATTGTTACAAAGTAATTCACGAAGACAAGAAACAAAAGTAGGAAATTCTTTTTTTCCTTAAGTACCCTATTGGGTTAAAAATAAAATAGAGAACTCGTTCGATCCGATGAAAGTTTTGTTATTTACTGTATTTCACACAGCACTATAGGCTATAGATGCACAAAATTCGCAGTCTAATTATGAGAAACGATGGGGCGGGGCGAATATTGCAAAGGCAGATTGTGTTTAGTGGAGGAGAAGGAAGAAATAGTCGAGAGTGAAAGAACGATCGTGAACCCGTTTATAGGAGAGAGAGAACACAATCGAAGGATCGAGATGATCCGATCGTCCCCGTTTCCGGAACCAGGGTGTTTTCCGCGTGTTTCTTTGATAAACTCTGTACAAACATTAACAGTCCATTGGGAACAACAATGTGTTTACATTTTCGCGATAAAACCCTGAATTTAGAGCTTTTATCATTCATAAATATTTCGATCTCCCGGTCGATCCATTAATCGCGGCGAATCGTCGAAATGTTTCTTTCTTTTCTTTTCTTTTCTTTTTTTTTTTCAACATTTTTCCCCTGTCTTCTTCTTCTTCATCTGTAACCATAATTACCGGCTCGAGGAACGGCGAGCAAACGTTATGCAATTTGATATGTCGGGATCGGAGAACGAAAATCGTGAGACAAGCGAAGGCGAGAGCAACTCGATGACTGATTGATAAAGAATTATCGTTCAATCGTTTAAACCAGATATTCTTGTTGGAAAACAAGTGTATGTGTTTGTTAGTGACAGGATCAACTGTATGTTGCATGCGATATGGTAATCTATAGACTTGAATTTGAATCCTAGATGGGTACTTCGTGAAATAAAAGTAGTAATTTTCAAGTAGTACACAATTCCATAATAATAGTCTTGTTACGATTTTTTTTCAAATCATAAAATTGATTAAATCATTCGATTTTGTTGATATTAATTGATCTTGATGAAACGAATCATAGGTATTCAGCTGATTGATGTTCATGAGTACATATTGGAAATTGGTCCTGTCACTAGTGTTTGCGCTTCAGCATGGATCAACGCATGTCTAAACTTTATTAACTCTTCAACTGCGGGTATTTTACGCTTGTTTTGTTTGGAATTGATATCCAGTTTAGTATTTACAACGATGGATTTAGCGAAGTTAATAAATCAGGATAGAAAAAGTTTTCGTCATCGTTAACGATTCAAGAAGATTTCAAGCTGAATAGCATACTATGCAAACAATAATGTAAAATTACAATGTAAAATTAACAATCATTGTTTTTTTCAACAAAACAGAAGGATTGTTATAAAGTCGTAATATACGAGCTTAAATTGCCTGATTGAATCTACTGTTGATTACACGAAATAACAATAAAATATACTGCATTTTCCAAACCACATAAAGCAGGATGCCAAGATAATCTTCTAATAGCGTTCAGCATAGAAATCATATTTCACTGATAAAATAGCGCCCTTAGGAATCATCCGACAATTGCAAACTGGAACCACTGTATCAGATAACAAGTACACAGTGGTTATCAAAATTATAAATCACAGAATATTCATTTACCCGCAGATAAAGCGTCAACGTGAGATTTCTACGCACGCAAGGAAGGTTCGAGTCGCGTCGAAAATTTCGTACACCTGTACCTTCCAGCAAATTTATCGAGTAGACTGCGGATTTTATGCATTTACAGCATATATTACACGTATGTATCTTTTTACATATTATGAGTATGTAAAAAGCAATAGAATATGAAACTTCCATCAGATTTAATATAGTTTTATGTTTCATTCAGAACCCGATAAATTCCATCGGAGAACAAACGAAGTTTCCGTTTGGTAATTCTGTCTTCGTACATTACTTCATAAAATGTTATTTTGCATAAAGATCCGCATTACAGAGATGAGCGTGCCATGGAACTTCCGTTAATTTATAATTATTTTTTTACGTACACAGTTCAGTTGACTGGTCGGCTAAGAACTGAACGAATAGAGGGCCGAGTGTCATCTTTATATAAAATATTAATACAAACTATTTGAGCCTCGTGTGGGGAACCTTGCCAGTCGTCGCGAAGCTTCATTCGAACCTTCCTCGTCGGAGGGACGCGAGCGACGATGTGGATCCGTTTAGAGTTTACAACGATTTCTGTCTGACGGTGAATAGTTTTTTTGATATCGGTGTATCAGTCTGAAACGATCGACAGCTCCGTAAATCCGTGGCCTGTTGATCAGGATCATTGAAAATCCTGTTTTATCCACGCGATCGGGATCGTGTCTCACGGAGTCGTCGTTGTCTTTTGGAGTTTTACATTAAGTGATAACGACATATCATGCATTTTCCATTTAGTACACGTACGACATGATACGAGCTCGACACTGGTAATATCATTGTGTGTCTGGAAATTGCGATGGTTCTTAGACTGTCCGATTATCGTTTGCTTTCTTTATCTGGCTTCGACGTATCGCTTGTGTCACGCGGTAGAGTACCTTACAGAGGCGAGCAATTTATTAGACTAAAGTAATAAAAACAGCATACAGAATAAAATGTGCAGGGTGAACTTAATTTTTTATTGGATTGTTTGGACAGTTCGAGCACAGTCTTTGTTATCTGTTTACTGGACGAAGGTAATATCGTTTGTTCCGGTGAACGGGTACTATATTCTAGATGTGGGTTTCAATGTATTTTCTGTACAAATTATAATTTCTTTTTTTTTTATTTTGTGTGAGAAATACCGACGAAACGTATGAACAAGCACGAAGTTCGGTTTTGTTAAGTTTTATCAAATATGTAAGAAAATTATAATACTTCGACTGGAGAAATTTCTCAAAATCTATGACTTCGGTCCATCAGATAATTTTTGATTCTCTGGAAAAGATGGCTGATTAGACAAATATCCTGGTTAGTCTATTAATTTGCTCGCCTCTCTGTACCCTGTTAGAGTATAAAGGAGAACGGTGGAATGCCGTGGATACGGAGGAATCACTTACATACCTAGTTACAACGCTAATAGAAAATCTAGTGAGGTTACTTGAGGCCTTAACGTATCAGCACCCTGTGAATTCATCGGTTTACGATGCCTCCCAACGAAAACCGGACATCGTGGTTTTCGTGTCTTCTCACACGATATCGGCGGCGAAACGTAAACGGCTAAAGCTTCTTCTACGCCCGTTTTCTATGCTACGGAAACTATACATAACCTACGCGAGCAAGATCGGACACTATTACCGTTCTCCAAGTATACTTCGAGCCGTAAACGTGCTCTCATTCCTGTACCATTGTCGTTCGTATTTCCACTCTTCGTTTCATTTCCTGAGTGGATGCCACTTGGTGACCCGATGCCTGACCTTCGCAAGCATCTGCACCCAATGCTCGTACGCCCTTCCAGTCGACGTGGGTCCCACGATAATGTGTCCAACCGAGTACGGTTTCGAACTTACGCTCTGATCGCTGTTCATTTGAGCCACTGTTAATCTTAATTGGATATTCTGGAAAATAGGAGAATAAACCAATATAATTGTCGTTCAGTTGTTAATGAAATAATTAATCCGATTTTCGACGATAGGTTTTACCCTTCTGCAGTCGAATGAAATGATAAGGGTCAATAATACTATGCGGGTTTTCTTCTTTTCTAAATTAATTTTCATGTTGGATGGTTTGCGTGGACTGTTTCTTAAGATCGAAAATGTGGAACTCTTTGTTGAGCTCTTGAAAATAGTACCTGTGTATTGGTAACAATCGATGACTTAGGTGATAGGCTACATGTTTTATTTATTTGGAAACAGGATAAAAACAATTGGAGAAATGGTGTATGCAATAATGACCTTCAGCCTTTCGTGCTGATATGTATGATAGATCAAGCAGATTTATAATATACTGCGGAAGGGTTACTTCCATTTTTTGACTACACTGGAAACTCCATTAGAAAAATTGGTACGAACCTGTAGAATGTGAGTGGGCACGTTAAAAATAATCGCCTCGTTGAAGATTGGACTGTTTTCGCCCTTCTTTACAGACGTCCTCTTTTTATGCGTCTTCTTGCCTTGTTGCAGCAAGTAAACCTTTATGACATAATAAATATAGTTAACAATGCAGCGTGTTCCGTTCTAACTTACGAACATCACGGAGATTTTTAGAATGTAGTTTCCCCAATTTAAAATTCGGTGTATTTTGAAATTCTTAGAAAATCAAGATCCTTCGGAAACTTAAAATTCTAAAATTAAACATCATTGTAAATATTTGACATTCGAAGAAAATTTGACTTACGAACCTTTTCTGTTCTTCGAATCAGTATATATGTTTTTATTTTTTAGTTCACGGTTCCGTATCGAACGACTCCTGACCAGAAATTTTTGAACGATATTGTCGCTTTGTTTTTTTATAATTTCTCTTTTTTTACGGAGAATAAGAATTAACAAAATACCTTCACGAAAAAGTCTCCAGGCACACTGCTGATGCCGCGCAAGTTCTTAGCCTTGACGACGACTAGAGTGAGTCTTTCAGCTGTCGGCAAGTAGCTCAAAGAGAACCTTAATTCACCCAAGCGCGGCGTTGGCGACCCTGCAAGAGGCAACCATGTGGTTGCTGGCGCCCTTGGTATAGGTCCGAATTGAAACGTGGCCGTTCCTATAAGAATGTCCTCGCCGTCCATACTGGAGAACACCTGAAAAATTCGATTCACAAGTTATTAAAATGAATTGTTTGAAATATTTTTGCATCATTCGGACACGTTATTACTAGACTGCGGATTTTATGCATTTATAGAACATTCAATTGTCTAAAATGTATTATAGTAAAAAGTTTAAAAAAATATATTTAGTTTTTCTTTTTACAGACTCTTCTCGATTATCGTCACGCACTCGGGTCTGTGCCGGGACAATAATCTTATAGGGAGAAATGTCTCTACTTAGTTTCTGTTTACTCTGTTTTGATTGGTTCCAGAAGGCGAGCCCCCCAGTAATGGGAGAATAACGCCGTTATTCGTATTGCATTCATTGAGGGATCACTGTACTGTGCAAATTTGAGAATGATGCAATAAATATTTTTTGTAATGTATATACAGAGGAGGAGATGGTTCTGAGGATACCCACTTCGATCAGAAGAGTCCTGCCGGTGGGATCGCCACGAAGCCCGATCAGGAAGTTTTCCTGGTAACTGGGCGACGAAGTTCCCTTGTACAGTCTGGTCCTTTGGTACTGATGTCTGTCCGGCAATAGACACACTCTGCGAAGTAAAGTGTTCCATCATTAATAACACAGTGAACTCATTACATAAAATACTATGATAAATAGTACTACGTAAAATACATACATTAGACTTTATTTTATAGACAATAATACTACGTAAAATACATACATTAAAAACTAAACAACTTAGAACGAAACAATCTTTAACAGCGGAAGGGGTTCATGAAAAATTTCACGCGGGAAACATATCAAATGTCATTTTTAAACAAAAGTGGACTTAATTCAGTCTGGTTCTGGGGTCTAGATATACAAGGTGTCCCAAAAAGATTGGACAATCCGCAACATGGATATTCCCCATGCAAATACAAATCGAAAAGTCCTTTACCGTTTTGTAATCCGAAGCTCCGTTTCCGAGATATTAGCAGTTAAACGAACTCGACGTAGCAGTTAACGATCAGCTGAGCGGTGGGCCACACGTACGCGCAGACACAGTGAAGAAGCAGTGGCCAGTGACTTCGGTCATGCGCATCTTCACTGTGTCTGCGTGTACGTGTGAGTTCGTTTAACTGCTAATATCTCGGAAACGAAGTTTCAGATTACAAAACGGTAAAGGATTTTTCAATTTGTATATGCATGAGGAATATCTATGTTGCGGATTATCCTATCGTTTTGGGACACCCTGTATAGAGGACACATATATTGGATCTGAGAAATCGAACCTGGCGTATGTGTTTTGTGCACGCTGGCCATCGGGTGTAACGAGATCCTTCGCCTCGAGGACACTAACCCTCGCGACGTTAAACTCGTTCTCAGCCCCGCGACAGCTATCGTACTCGACTCCGACGCAGACCTGACCGACGACAAGCGCCTGTTCGAGGTCATCGATCACTATGCTGGTGTCCGAACACACGCTCTCGCAACTTAATGCCCTCTTCAGGTTCGAATCATCCGGCGGCGGCTCTGGTTCCGGTCCCTGGGATCCACGACGACTTCCGGGACTGAACCCATTGTAGACGGTCATTGTGTAATTCGTGATGAACGCCTCCTTCCATAAATCAAATTTATACAATAATTATTTCTGACGATGTGGTTACCTACTTTTTGCTATTGCAGTTCACTAAGGTTCGGTACGGACTTGGTCGTAATGAGGGTACGGGAGATCAGGGACAAACGTAACAATTTTTCTTTTTGTGTATGTAAACTTTGAATACGGTAGAATTTTTCAAAAATTCTTACACGACGAGAAACATTGATTATTGGACAACATAATCAAACTTTAAAACTTAGAAGATATATCAGTTTTTTTAAATTGAAAAAAAAACCAACTGAAAGGAATGATGCTTTTAAATGATATTTTTATTTAGTCTATGGATAGACATAAACATAAATATAAAGATGAATATAAACATAAAAGTAACATAAAATTTAAAACATTTTTTTAAATGCAAACATGTATGTACTATTAATATTCATTTTTTGTCAGGAGTCGGGAATAGACTTTTCATACTTTATTGCCAACTAGTAAGCCAATATTTTTATTTCTTTTGTTGTCATAAGATTATTAATTATTTATAATATAAGGTTATTTATACCGGTTTTTATATAAAAATGCATACGTCTTTACATCACAGACTAAATTAAAAGGTGGTACCTGTAGGCGCTTATAGGAATTGAAGGGGCAAAAGCAACCGATAAATTTGGTTGATCTAGGACTTGATTGTTCCAAGTACGTACCGTGTTTTAACGATTCTCAGGGATATAATTATTTACTGAGGAAATGATTTGTACCTGAGACGATCTTTGTGTCAGCGGCATGTCGTCGAGAACGCTGGGAAATTCTTGACTGCTTCGCATTCTGCAAAATAAGCTGATCGATTAACGCGTTAATCATTTCCTTTTTACGGGGAATCACAGTCAAGAATAACGAACAGAGGTTACCTCATCGCGTGAGCGTCCTCGAGCTCGCTGAGTTCGCTGAAGATAACGTTTTGCCTTTCCATGCTTTTTCTTCTTTGCTCGATACTATTTAGAATATCCTGGAAATATTAGATTAAGCTCAGAATTTGGGTTAATTATTGGGCTGAGTTAACAAAATTATAATAATAAACATTCTTAAGTTTAATGAAATGTTACTGCTGGCTATTTAGAATATCTTGGAAATACAATCTTATTAAATCAAGCTGCGAATTGAGGATAATTATCGAGTTAATGAAATTAAATTTCTAATATTTTAATAGGTAGCATACAAATTCTGAAATTTAATAAAAAGTTACTCGTAATTCAACGTAAATATTTATAAAATTTCATACCTCCGAAGTTCTTGTAAAGCTAGGATCAGTCTCGTAGGCGTAGATTTCTGGACTGTGATCTTTAAGTAATAACGGTGAAGACGGAGGGTTTTGTAAACTATTGTACACCTGTTGAAACGATATAGTTCAATCATGGATTCGTTTGAATAATATTCTTGTGTATTTACCTCTTGCGCAGTTCTTTGAGCTTCCAAGTTCAACTCAGGACTGTATAGATCGGAGCTACGTTTAGAACCGTCAAGACCTATCACGTCGGAATCATTCTCGCCGTAAATATCCTGGATGTCGTTCTGCAACTGACTATTGATGCTATCGTCTATCAGTGACGGAAATCTCGATGAAAAAGAGAAACGTTGCATTGGCTGGGGTGAGGATAGGATCGAACTATGAACAAATTACAAACATGTATACATTAAGAAAACCGTTAAATATCTTATATTCATTTATGACAATGATACTTTTAATTTAATTTAATCAATTCTTTTAAATGAATATTTCGATTAATTACAGGCTATTTTTCTGTTCACGTGAATTAAAATAATACAATACTTAATGCATAGATAACATTTAAATTATTTATATATTATAAATTCTCTCAAGTTTTATTTGTTTTAGTATGCCAGTGTTTATTACAAACACATTAACACTGCAACTACCAGCTTTAAATGTATACTAAATTGAATTGTGTAATACAATAATATACAGAATATATAAGAAAATCTAGCATAATACACCATAAATTAAAAACGTGGTAAAATGACATTATATGTTAAGTCTATTCTTATATCTCCTCTATGATCGAGGCGGTGAGATCCAACTTACTTGTAAAACTTCGACCCGTCCATGTAACCCTGCGAGGTGACCAGCCTGAGAGCGTTGAAAATCCTCTCCCCGGTGGTCTGACCGTCCTTTTTTGGCACATCTTGGAGCGGATCGGGGGGCGCAGGTGGCGGCGGCGGCACCGGGCTTGGGGTCGAGTCGCTGTTAAAGTTCATCCCGTTGATCGGCTCGGCGATCGTGTCGTCGTCGTACATCACGTGATCCTGATTCTGGTGTAACTCGAGCTCGTTCATCGAGTCGTAAATAGGAAGATCGGGCAGGCTTCGTATGTACTGCGAGACCTTTTGCAAGCCTTGCGACTCCCTGCCCAAGTAGGACGTGTCGATGTCGTCCTGTAGGCTGTAGCTTCTGAACGGCGTCATCTCGATGCTCTGGGTCTCGTTGCTCTTGCGATCGAGGTCGTTGCCCAGGCTCTGAGTACTCTGCAGCATCTTCGACAACGCGGCGGGCCCGTACATCGGCTCGATGATCGTTTGACTGGCGGCATTCGTGGAACTCGTCATTCCGTAACCGCTTGGAGATACGCGGGTATCATTCCTGGCGTGCTGACGTAGCATGTGGCTTCTTTGGACGATGTCGTAGCTGCCGTAGCTCATGTTGCTGTCTTCGTCGTCCTTGTCGTCCATGGTAGTCATTGGTGAACCGTGCACACTGTATCTGATTCTTGTCGACGGTTCGACGTTGCCGTCGAATTGTCGGTAGGGATTGTTGCACCGTTTCTCGTTCCGTCGTTCTTCCTCGAGCTCGTACCTTAATCGTGAGTCCATGTGCATGCTCTCGGCGATCGTGTTTGCACGATCGTCGTCCTCGTATCGGAACGACGCCTGATTCGACGTCCCGTGCAATCCGTAGTTTTGGATCGACGGTGTTTGGAAGAGAAATACCGACGGCCCGGATGATCTCGAGGGTACTGATGGTCGTTGCAACGGGGGCGGCGGTGTTAACGGCCCTGGACCTGACTCCTGCATTCGTCGGTAGTCCACGGTACTCGAGGTCTGAAGTGGAGACGGCCTTGGACGCGCGGTCGGCCTTGGTTGGGGCGCTGGCCTTAATGGCTGAGGAGGTATCGCGCTACTGGCTGTGCTCAGAGGCGGATGGAGATCTCGGTCCACTGACTCGAATCTGGAAGTGTTAGAGGGTTCGTATGGTGGGTCATAATTCTCTTGCGATGCTTGTTTCGCTATTCGGAATCTAAGGTTTTTATGGTGGAGCATCTTTAGCGACTGAGGCACTACGGAAATATTTACGAGTGATAGAATGTAGTTATGGGATTACTTATTGCGTTAGTTTCAAAGTTACCTGGTACGTGTAATTTTCATAGCAGTATGATTGATAAAAGTATTTGAAGTCAATTTATTTTGGCTGAAATGCTGGGTAACAAGGTGTTTAATGTTTAAATGATGCAATAAATATTTTCGTTGTTGTAAATGTAACGACTTACGACAGGATTATGGTTATTTAATACCACGTTTGTTTACTCATTTCAGGAAGCTACATTTTAGTAGAATATTCGTCAAACAAGTTCCTTAGACAAAGAAAAATGCTTCGAAGAAAATAAAATTACGATTTGTAAGTGTAGGTACTTTTTCTTTTTTTTGTTTTAATACTTTTAGACGACTAAATAGTTATCCACGTGTAGTATCATTTCGTTACACTTGTCACTGTAAAAACGAAGCAATTTGAAAATGCAGTATGTCGAGATACTTGAAAATTTCGTTCACAATTGTAAACAATAATTATACTAAGTAATATTATTATAGTTGAATTGTTAACATTCGATTGACACGATTAATAGGGTTTGCGCAATTAACCATAATTGCTCCCCTCGAAAAATGTCATTATAGTACCATCAAGCGTCGATGCTGCTAGTCGCGAAGCTGCCAATATTGGATTATTAACTTTGACACTGTTCTTTATCGACGCAAAAGTTAACGCGTAATACATCGATCGCTTCGTAATTAATGCTACTATCCATTAAAACTAATGGTGCCATTAATTAAAATTTACTGCTACGGGGTTATTAGAAAATTGATCGGACCTAAACGCATATTCAAAAATCTCGTTTATGGAACCAAGCATGGTCAGAGTTCCGTATTTGCAAATCGGTTTCGTACCTTGTAAAAGCTCCTTGCGCGTCGAGCCTGAGATCGCTGTCGCTATGAAGCAAATGCTCAGACGCGTTTCTGGTTTGTCGATACAATCCGGGGATTGTCTGCGCCGGTGGATATTGTGCTTTCACCAGGCCAACCTGGAAATCGACAGAATGCAAACGATTGCGACACGGTGACACCTTTTTTTCAAGATTTTCCTGTCGAACAGCGCGTTTCATGACCTACCGGCATGGCATAAAGGTTCGTGTGTCGTATCTGAACGTGTAGCTGAATTATAGAACTTTTTCCTGAATCTACTAGGTCGTCTCATGAATAATATCGTTATATGGTACAGTTTAATAAAAATATGGAAACTGAAACTCTAGAAGATAAGTTGCTTAATTTTTTGTATTAATGGATAATACATTCTTTTTTCTAAAATAGGAATTTCAGAATTTAGGTTTAGAAGATAAATTAACTAATTGGAGGTATATGGAATAATCAATATATCGATGATTGAAGGTAATTTAACGTATTAACTTTTCTTTTCTTAATGTTCATTTAGAAAACGGTGTTACTCATGTGATGACCCAATATATTAATTATATTGGTATACCAATTAAATGATATTGTAATTTAAGATAAAGGGAATGATTTAGTTGTAAAATTTAAATACTATTAAATATACTATAAAGCATCTATATATAGATATTTTTTGACTAAAATAAATCATTTATATCTTCTACGAGTTTTTTTTTACTCTCAAGCGGACCTTTAAAAACACGCCTCGTACATTCCAATGTGGTACGATACATGCTAACTTGCATGGGAAACAATTAACCAGACATTAATCATACTTTTAAACCGAGTATTGAAATAACAATCGAGTTGGTTGCAATATTATTGCGTGCGTATGGAGTTTGGTTACAAATTAGTTTTACTACTGAAAACTATGGCTAAATGGCAACAGTCCGATTTAGCTACTACAGTTAGAATATCTGTATTATACGATACGAAGATATCAAACCTAAACCTTTGCCCTGCGCGATTTAACTTATGAGCGACAGTGTATGTGCCCTTTTCATTTATAGCAGTAAAAAAAAGGTTAGGAACCACTGATCTAGATAATAAATTTTCCTATCTCTGACCTTTTCTTCTCTAGGCGCCCACAGCCAGGACAGCCTTTGTCGCCATTCCTCGCAGACGTTCCACACGTTTCTGGTGCCCCATTGCCAGCCGATGCAGTACCTGAGACGTGCCGCAACAAACACCAAGTATTATTACGTTACCGGTTTTCTCTGCCCGATTCTGCCCGCCGGGCTTTCAGACGGCGTGCGGAGGGACTGTTATGTTAGATGTTGCGCGGGCGGTGGTCGATAATCATGTTTTCCTGGCGAAAACTTTCGGCACAACCGCGTGGAAATTAGATTACTGGGTCACTCCGCTTGAATAGTGAAAATATTGATATTTAATACCGAAGCCAGTCACTCGAAATTAATCATCGAGCCACGGTATGGAAACCGTTAGCACCGGAGCGAAATCGACGAAAATCGGTCAGATATTATTACCGGGGGTCTTCGTTTATTTATTTTTTTTTTTCTACGGTTCTTTAGGTTGGACACTAGTGATGGGACTGATACGATACATATTGATGATGCTCAAACAATTAGATACTTGAATACTCAGTGGGATGGATCGAAAGGCATCGAAATCTCGGACACTCAATATCAACTTTTAATACTGATGTCTCTTGGACCGATACGAATCAAGATCGATTCTATAGCAACCGAATAGATATCGATATTATGAACTATATGTAGAATTGAATTTTTTAAGAACCTTATCAATACAGGAATTCATAAGTCATTTATCATGTTGACTGTCATAGTGGAAAAGTCCGTACATAGCCAGACACACATTATTTTCGTTTTTCAAGTCATAAATTATCGAAAATATATAATAATAAAATAGGATGGATCGTAATTTTCGTAATCGATCGTAAATTGAGTATTAAATAAAATAAATTGTTTTTTCAAGAACATCTGTGGTTTCGTTGATGCGTGTCCGTAGGGATAGGTATATGTATAAGAAATGTCCGTAAATCTAGTGTTAAGATTCTTAACACGATGACTGCTACAGTAGAAAAGGTCGTATGTAGTCAGACATAACGACCGGCCAAAAGTATAGGACCAGCGCAGTGATAGTTAAAGAAAAAGAAAAATATTATTCTACAAAGATTCGATGAGAGTAATATGCTAAGACTGATTGGAAATGATTTTTATGTATGTACTGATTCCGGAACTGTTATTACATCGTTACAGAATAATATATCTCTTATATAAGTAGGATTTTTTTTGTAATTAACTACTATAATTAAGCTTTTCAATAAGATTTGTGTCAAAATCTCACAAAATCGTCACCACATAATTTCAATAATTATTACTTTTTATAAGTGTTAATAATTTACAGTTTCAGTTCAATCGTGCCAATTGTGAATTAAATTTTATTGAAAAATTTAAATACATTTATTTTAATGATTACGTAATTTACTGTACATAAAAATAATGTAAGGGCACAGTAACTGAGACACTTACCCTAGGGGGGTATCGATTCTTTTCGATGCCTATCGACAGCATCGGTACAGTATCAGTCCCAACACTATTGGACACCGTGGTGTTTTTGGTCACGTACCCGCTCGATCGACGAGAGGGACTAATGGCGTGCCGGCGTGCACACGCGGGAATATGCTATTATTAAGCGAACGAGAGAGATGTGAGCTCGTCAAAGGGGTCACAGTGAAAATCAATTTCACCGACCGACGGTACTAAAGGTGAAACAAAATTTCTGTCGCATTCTCCGTTAACAATTATTTAGCAAAATTTCACACGGGTGAGGCTACAGGACTGCGTTTTTCATTGAAACTTTTCGTGCCGTACGTCGTCGAACGATATGTATTTTATCGCCGTGGCGCAGCGGTTCGATGGACGCACGTCTGATAGAGATATAAATTCTAATTCACGTTATCTTGAACGCAGAGCGAATTTCACAGCGTGGTACGATGTTTTATAGGTGCCTACGATGAGAACGGCGATTTATCGTTCGAAATTTTCCGATCGGTCGGTGCTCTTCGATTGTCTGTATTCTAACCTGAAATTGTCTACTTTTATTATTAGCGGTAGTAAACATTTTAGGTGAGTGCAAATGTAAATAATGGCCATTATATTAATATTCAAGAATTGTTATAGCATCGGTTACTGCAAATAGTACCCTTTATTCTGATAATGTTTTGCCATTCATCAGGGACATGTTGAAATCCCCGCCGTTGAAATAATACAAGGTGTCCCTAAAATCGTGGTACAATTGCGTGGTGCAATTTGCTGTTTACATAAGTCAAGTTGAAATTAACAATTGTTTTTCACTATTTCTATATGAATACTTAGCATAACCTCCATTTCTTTTTAATGAAAATACAAACACACATACCGTGGAACAATAAAACGGTGTCATTTTGAAAATATCTATGAAAATGAAGATGACTTTATAGAAATTTCGGCCAGTATAGTTGAGAAGATAACATTATCTCACTATCAGTGGGCGTTTATAAGGAAGATCAGGTTTAATACCAGACAGCTCACGATTACGTTTATTACCGTATTTTTATCCAGGATCGTACGTACTTACGACGGTTTAACGAATCTGAGGAAGAGGGTCGTTCGGAGGCACAATTTAATATTCCTTCCCGTGGGTCGAGTCGCTCGGAGGAATGTCTCGAATTTTCGTGTCGCTCGAGGAAGAATAAACTCGGTTAAAGAAAACGGTGGATAAGAAGTCCCTGATACAATTGGTGGCTGAATGACCCTTTAACCTGTTGCATGTGTGGCGTTTACCAGTCTTCAGGAGTACACTGTTATGTAATGCGAGAAAATGCCGGGATACGAAAGCTTTCGCCACGTGAACAATACCGAGAGTTTCTTTTACTGTATTGTCGTGTTTAATTCCAGCGAGGGGTGCACCTCGATCGAATGGAAATTTTAATAAACGAACCTGTCATGAATTTTAATTTCAGCGTAACGTAACATGTCTTTGTATAAAAAATTTCTAAACGTGAAAGGGAAAATCCAGTTCGTTCGATACAGCTCTTTTGTGTCTTTCAGGCAAAGATTTTTAATTTATTTTTGATACGTATACTATCGGTAGTGATGGGATCAAGTATACTGCAAGCAGATTCGAATCTAATACCTAATGAGTATTTGGAAAAAAAACAAGACTTTTATGCAGAATATAACCTAGATGGGGTTGGTTTGAATTGTATACAACTACTTTGAGAAATTTAAACGTAGAAGTGCTACTATTACTATAAAAGAAGTTTTAACAGTAGATTCGAATCTTTTGCAAACAATATTTATTTCAGATTTCTAGCAATTCGTATAAATTGGAGTGTTTATTGGTGACAGGCACCGTTGAATAGGACTGCTCAAAACAAATGTTTGTACCACAAATAGATTAGTAGAATTGTGCATAATGAAAGACAAGAAACCATTAAAACTAGCTAATAATTACAAAGAATCAACGTAACATTATAGTTTTCTCTTTAATTGGCTTAACACAATATTATTTCTTAATCAATAGGTACTCGACATAACATAAATTGCCTTTTTTTAATTAGCACAACATGAACATTATCTTCTTAATAAGTTCAATTAATTATCATAATTAATAATTATCATAAATCATTTTTATTTAAAAAATTATAAGTTCTGTTACGATCTAACCCTGTTACTTTCAACCCCTGTTTCCCCTAGAGAAGATTGGAACATGAAAAATACAGCACGTTGACGAATAGCGTAGGGGAATTGTGAAAACATTGGTTGTAATCACCTTCTGCAGAGCGCCAGGGCTGCGCCAGCCACGACGACAATGACCAAAGCCGCCCCAAGACCGGTGAGTGTCCAACCCATCCTTCTTAGTACCAAATCTGAGCCCGACCAGAAATCCAATTAAACCGGCGAGCCTGAAACACACGAAGTAAATCCATGGAGAGCATGATCCGATTACAGTTACAGAACCAAGATTACTCGTGGATTAACGATCCTTACGGATACCAGTGCCGTACTTTATTCGACTCGATCAGTAGGCCTATATTTTAGTTTGCACACGGTTATCGATTTACGTGCAGAACAATGTCATAGCTGCTTATCGACGACACGAAACAATCCATTGGATAATCTCCTAATCTTGTAATTCAATTATTGTCTTGTTTCGAGACAAAGTTATTAGATATTCAACTTGTAAAAATTGAAGGTGTCGTAACAAAAATGGCCTTTGCCAAATATTTCGATTTTTGTGATTACAGATTTCAATAGTCAGGAGTAAGATTTACAATATGGTGGAACGTATATAGAACGATCTTTGTCTTGGTTTATTCTGAACATATCGATCGATTCTTAACATTAGAATTACCAAGCAAATCAAAATGACGTGTCAATACACTCCTACAACGATTAAAATGTTATGACAATATATTTTCTCAGATCTTTTGTACTTTTAGAACATTTTTACACGGTGTAACGTTAACTACTTCGTAGAATTTGTCGAAAAGTGGAAGGGGAAACTAGATGTCAGCCAGAAATGTCGATAGAAGTTAAGGAGGCAGCATCGCGAACGATAAAATCTCTCTCGGAAATTTCCCCCGACGATTCGAGCTTTTGCCGGGGACATGCAAAGATTTTCAACGATTCGCAAGAAACTCCGTTCGCAAAATTAGAGTACCTATTCGCGGTTTCGTCTCTGGCCACGTCGCGATAGATCCCTGATCTTGCCTTTCGACACCAACTGCTGCTGCTTCGTACAAAACCGATGTGTGCATCCTGGGTCCTCGAGGTGTATCGATGTGTGCGTCGTGTCTGCAAACGGCGATAGGCAGTCTCTGACGCCAGCCAGAATACGTGCTTGGAACACGATTCATTTAGAATATTTAACGATGACGCAGAAAACGTGATATTTGCTTTGAAACACATCGAAAGTGATATTACCATTAATATACTAAACAATCTGAACCTGAATCACATTCGTCACATTTTTCTTTAAAATGATTCTTGCGAAATTATAGTTTGGAAGGATAGCTTTTTTCGTTTGTATAAATCTTCCTGTCATAGTTGTTACTATTGACGGTTTTAGGTGTAAGCAGTGTCCTGGTGGAATCACTTTTCCAATTTTTCGCAAGGATTGGAGCTAGCTTTATGAAGGATTTCGGACTGGTCTTCATTGGGCCCCTTGAGTTGGAATCGCTTTATATGAAATTCCTTTGATCTAAATCAGACATACTCAATCTGCGGCCCACCAAGCTTTTATGTACGACCCGAAACACTCACAGTCATTATTACTTTTCTAATCGTAACAAAAGCTAAACCAGATGGTATTGACATTTCTCGAGAAAATTATACCATAATTTAAAATTATTTAGCTAGTTTATCCAAGGAATTTAAGACCAGATTCAAGGGTTTATGGAGTATTAAAAATTGTCTGTTGTTTGTAGAAAATCCCCGGCACTTGGAAACAGTAACAATTATACAACTAGCTGCATTGGGATACGATTATGAAGTATGCAAAGAACGTATATAGAAATCGGCTTACTGATTACACCTTGATAACGTATTGAGAGTAGTATGCAGCAATTATAAATCTGATTTGTCTGAACATAAAAAAGTCACACTAATTTTTAAATAAACGTTTGGTTACATTTAGGTTTGGAGTTGAGTATGGCTGATCTAAATCGTTTGAAATGGGGTTTTCGAAATTTGGGCAAGTCTGTACAATGTCTCTTGGATCCAGGCGGACTTGAGTGGGTTCTCTTGGCTTAAAAGTGATTTGTGTCGAGTATTTTGGGTCTGAACCAGTGTGTATGGTGTTTTGTTAGCACGAACCGATCTGTATGAGATCTACTGGGTCCAGGCCGATCTGGACTGGAGTCTCTTGAGTATGATTTAGGTATAAAGACGTCTGAAACATTATTATTATTATCTTTGTATCTTCCACATTTCTTCTGTAAGATTGTAGTACATTTTGTAAGTTTTACAATAAAGCTATTTTTTTATGACGACAATTAAGGTATGTCTTTATCCGCATCATGTGCATCAAAGGTTCTACACATTATTGCGAAGAAGATGCGCAGGGCCGTTCTGTCTCGTCGAACAGGGTAATGCTCCCCCTTTTATCTCAGACGTTTTGACACAAAGTACATGTGGCTTAGTTTCGGTGTAGTCATGCACTCAGCTCCTTTCGAAAAAAAAGGGGGTAGCCAGTGGGGGCGGAAGAAAGCGCACCCCGGCGTGTGTCTGAAAAAATAGGCCAAGCCAGCGGAGTCGGTGAACTTTGCTCGGATACTTCGACGGGCATTGAACGAACATTGGAGCGATCCGAATCGTTTTTCCTTCGTAGAAGTAATCCGTTTTTAAAGTGGAGCAGATATATGCAGGATCTAGATACATTGAAGACATTTTATCTTTCCTTCTTAATTAATTGATTTTTCACTTGTATTCTAAAAATACCCAGTGCATATACAAGGGGGTCTAATAAATCTGTTCACCTGGAATGTTTCCGTTATTTTTAGAGATATGTGGAAAAACTGATATTTGTAAAAAGTTGTACGGTATAGTGGGTGTTATAACATGCCAGTAATAATTTTTTTATGAATGGGTTTCGGAGATATCAAGATCTCCTCCTTTTTTTTTTTAAATGGCATGCTATACTTTGTTTATTCCTAGTTTAATAGCGGATGTTTCGATCATTTCAACGACCTTTAATAAGAGATCATTCGACAATAAATTAAGGAGGTTTTACATCATAAGAAGTGCTTGAAATGGTGTTCGATTGTATCGATGCAACAGCACTGTACCATACAACTTTTGTAAGTAATATTTTTCCATATCTCTAAAAACAACGGAGATACTCCAGGTGAACATTGTTATTGGGTCACACTGTATTAATCAATTCTGATATAGTTATCTTTATTTATGTTGTTTCAATCGCTGTCGACGTTTCATATCAGATTCCATTCGATATATATTTTCATATTTCACAGTAATAATTTCTTTCATGTTTTGTACATTAAACTATAAATATTCGGATAATTATATCCATGAAAACTGAGTAATAACCGAATACGACTGTGTTGACAGTATGAAAACGAGCCGTGACGCTAATTAGGGCGGTCACATAAAAAGAAATAACGTCGAAACTGCCCCCGCCTATATTTTCGAAATCACGGGGGTTTAATGAACAGGAGCAGTAAAGGAAAAATGTAAACGAAGGAAAGGGAAACGCGACGGGAGAATGAATTTTAGCATCGCATTTCGGATGACATTAAAATGGGAGTACACAGTGAATAAAAGATCTGTCCAGAGAGTCTTGGTTGAAAGGGATCGCGAGTCGGAAGGGGGGAGAACAACAGTGGTATTATGTTTAAAAAAAGAAAAAAAGAAAAAAGGAAGGAGCTCGGAGAAATGAGTGGTAATAGCGAAAAGGAAAAGGTTTTCCCAGCGTCTCTTATTGTTCCTGCCAACGGCACAGAGACATTCCGTCCGCGCAAACCATTTTCAGCATTTTTATTCTACTTAAAAGAGGTATGGAACGCTCCACGTGGGTCGCATCTTAATTTCATGGTGAATAAGCGCATGAAAATCGTTGATCCGATAAGATGCAGGGGATTCGAGTAATGGCCGAATGCTCGTTTCACCGACAGTGGATGTGCTTAAACTATTAAATTCGCGAAATACGTGGTTCAACGAATCGAATTATTATTTTTACGTCGTTTGGCATCAAAACATCTAGACTGCCACGTCAGTTTTACGTGATCCTCTCTGGGGGCTGCAAAAGAAAACATTGAAAGCGCAGTCCGGTCACTGATTACCACCCACAGATTATAAATTTAGATCAAATATTAGAAAAAGATAGCATACTTTAGGTCATTATTCTGCCTCCGTCTGACATTCATTCCTTTTCACCCCCTTCTACTTCTCTGTTTCCCAGGCAACGAAAACTTCTCTATCGTAGCACGAGTCGTTAGAAAAAGACAGGTTGGTGACCGTACACAACATGACATCCTCCTTGATACCATGTAACACCTGTAGATATGATTTCTTGTACACTGCATAATTTAGAAGTTATTCGAGGTGATCAAGTTAGGTGCCTCACCCTGTGTATATGTTTATATATTTATTTGTGGGTTAATTCCCATTAGAATACAAGACAAAAAAAAAATGTAACATGTTTATATAATATATAAATCGGACGAATATTAAAACTAAATGAAACATATAACTGCAGAATACAAAAACAAAAAAAAATGGTAATTGCAAAAAGAAAAGCGAATTGGTAATTACAAGGACACAATAAACTTGGTTTTTGAAAGACTGGATAGAGCCAATAAAGAAATCAAGATCTTTACAGACAGAATTCGCTATTCCATAAATGCGATAAATAGGATCAGAGGTCAGAAAATATATCAGTCTCATAATTTTGAAATAACAATGTAAGAGTCTGGGCGTTAAAGGGTTAACAAGCTGAATCCATTGCAGAAACACGTGGAGAATTTACGTTTTTTTTTTAAGCGGTAGGATACCCAGTAATAGGTCGTGATTTTCGACAGATGGATGAAACGAAGATGGACGAGGCGGAGGGATACGATTTATCACGGTAGACGTTGGTTGCCCGAGCGTTTCGCTCTTCTCCGTCGGAGACAATGCCAGCAATTAGTGGCGTGTAAGATTTTCAGCCCCAGGGATGCAGCGAGAAGAGAAAGAGATTCCCTGATTCTCGAGTGTATTCATTCAAACGGCCGCCGGTCTCTTTCCCGCTCTCGAGCCCACCCTCCCCCAAAAAGAAGCGAAAAAAAGCGGGTCACGAAGTTACTTTCTGGGAGACGTGTACGTTCTCAATCGAGGGGGCTGCCGAAGAGATT